ATTATGATCCCACCAGATATGGATGAGTAATAAAGTTGGCACATTACTAGTTATGCTTTAAACCGCACTAATTTAGGAAAAGGGTCTCCTTAATTATAAGTGTTTGCGTTATAATTAGGTTCTTAAAATTTTTTAATATTATTTTTTATTTAAAAAATCATCAAATTCATGGTTTTAAAGATATTTATTTATAATTTTAATATGATGCTATAAAAAATAAAAAAATATTCTAAAAAAATATTATTTTGATATATTTTTATTTAATAAATACTTTTAAAAAACTCGTTTATTAATGACTTCATGGTGTCCCACAAAAATAATTTAACCTATATGGAATCAAAATAGAAAAAGAAAAATTAATCATATATCTCCTTTAATTCTCTTTCATAGCATTCTTTTTAAATCAAGAGTACGTAAATAATACTTATAAATTAATTTATCTGTACATTACTCGAGATTATATATATTCATTTTTCAATCAATTTTGAAAACACAAACTTAAATAAGTTTAATAATTATGTTAAATTTCGAACTCTTTTTTTGTTTTTTTGAAAAGAAAAAAGTTAAATCTCCACAAGTAAAGATCTTATAAGGCGAATTCTCTCTTTTGTTGTAGCGTAAATTAGTTTAAAGATACTATTCTCATCGCGAAAAAAGAGAGTTTGAATGTTAAAGAAAAGTCCAAATTTGTAGGCTTGGGAAGTTTGCAGATGCAGTGCCTGCCAAACCCTAGATATGGCATTAAATCAGGATGTGTAGCTGCCATTAGACGTCTATTCTAAGCTAACCAATTCCAGCTAATGTCCCTACCATTTGCACATATATTTTGGACACGTTTTCTGTAAAAAAAAAAACCCTATTATAGTTAAAAATTATTTGAAAAAAGGAGTCCATTTCAAACGCACAATATAATGCACATCTTCCGAGTCAAGTATTTCGAAAGGGTCCACCTTAGCCCCACCACAATTCGTTCACTAATTGCCAGTGCTATCACCAGCTAGACCAATTGGTTTTTGTCCTCCTTTTTCACCCGCTCAAGGAGACCTAAAGGAATATTTCTATTGTTCCAAATTTTCAAAAGAAATCAGCACCTTCATTCAAACGAAATTTTCAATCGTGTGACCAGAACGATTATTAAAAATTTCTGATCTTATGTCATTGTTTCAAACTCGGTGCCTGCCTCAGGTAAGATCCCGTTAAGAAAGAATTGATCAATATTCTCTTAATTTCTATATGAAAAAAAAGGGTTAAAAAACAGAAACGGAGAGCAATTGTAATTAATACCAGCGACTCGATCAACTGTAATCTGCATGAATATTGAGATATCGATGAACTGAAATGAATGAATGAATTGATTAAAAGAGGGACGCTCGTGTGGTAAAATGAGAAGGACACATAATTAATAAACAGTACTGGGGTACCTTCACGTTTCCACGAGTTGGGAAATTAAATAGTGACCAAGGAGGAGTTAATGACCAACGTTAATGAAAAGTCCTGGCTTTGGTAAGAGGAAGGGGCCACACCCTTGTCTTGATAATCAACATATATATATATATATATATATAAAAGGGATACGGGTTCAGAAATCTGCCTGGATTCCGCTGTTTTCTATCTGAAAGCAAGTAGTATGTGCTTTTTTTCCTCTCAATAATCGTTGTCGTATTTAATCTCTTTAATCTAATCAAGTTTCCAATTTCTACCCGGTTATCCATCCATGCATGTTACAAGTCTTACGTGGAAAAGGACCTTTTGTCTCATCTCTCTAGCTATTTATTTTTTTTAGATTAACGTGGGTGTCCGGACCAGCTTGCATGCATCACGACTAATCTCACGGGTCTTGAAGTTCTACTTTTTTTTGGATTAATATGGGTATCCGGGCCAGTTTGCGTGCACCACGATTAATTCCACGGGTTCTGAAGTTAACGATCATGTAAGCCTCCAGTGGTCATCATACGAGCAACCAAGGACTCGAACCTGAGACCATAGAGGGAGCAAACCTTTTAATTCTAAATCTTTACCACTTAGCCATTATCTAGATGATTTTTCAAACTACCTACTTTTTTTTTTTTTTAGATTAACGTGGGTGTCCGGGCCAGCTTACGCGCACCACGACTAATCCCACGGGCCCTGAAGTTAACGACCATGTAAGCCTCACAGCGCAGAGCTCACAAGTATGCAACTCCAAAAATCAAACCTGTGGCAGTGGAAGGAGCAAATACTCCTGCCACCGCTAGGCTAATGCCGTGGGTGCTCTCTAGCTACCTACTTGACTGCACGTGTTGTGGGGTACCTAGATGGTTTTTTCAAACTACCTACTTGACTGCACGTGTTGTGGGGTTGTGACTTGTGGAAGAGATGGTTTTGTCCTCTTCCTTATAAGAATAATGTTTTAACTTGGAAGAGAGCAGCTAGCAGGCTTTGATATCACGAAAACATTGACGAGGTAGCAGCCAGGTAGGAGACGACAAGATGCACTCGTGTGGTGCGTGTATAGAGACAAAATGCTTCCCCACTCCCCTTCATCTTCCCCGCCTTCTTTCTTTTTTCTTTCATGTGATTTGGTGCCCACACACTTCCAAGTTCCATCCAATACCCATAGCCATCCAGCCGGCCCGACGTCCCGCGCCCCGTGCCTGCCTATGCTTAGCCTTCTACTAATCTGTATCATCTTTCAAGAATCAAAGATGTCTATACATGTTGGCACTTATCGTCAATTAATATTAACATAGAAATACTAGTGCCCCATAGTATAGGGAACCCACCACTTTCCAAGCAAGATGTTGTCCCTTCCACTACATCCGATATCCCTATGCCAAGGGATTCTCTCTCTTTTTTTTTAATCTTAGTTGCATCTCAGGGTTTTTCAATTTAATTAATATCGCTCTCTCAGTTCCATCATGCATGATGTAAGAGATCATCGATGCGCATCCATTCTTTTATGCTGCCTTGGCTAATTAAGCAAGCCTCTTCTTGTTTCATGCATGTACTCCCACAATAACCATTGACCTGAAACTAGACAACAACTACGACGTCTACATGTATTTTTCTCAATTAATTTCTCTTTGGGTCTATCCTACCTAACGTCATTAATTACCTCTCCCTCTGTGGCTGGGTGTTCTATTTCTCATTCACTATGGCTTCAACTACAAATTAAGAGTAGGAAATTAATTAATATAATATACTACATCATGCATCAAGGAAATAAAATTAACAACAACAACATTGCACTTTACAGCTATCGTTGCTTCATTCTTGCTTGCCAATCCATGTCCATATATATATATATATATATAATTTGTGGGGGTTTAATATTGACTCTTAAGAATAAAATCTATAAGGAACGTGCCCATATTTCTTATTAGTGGCAATTATTTGATAAATTCTATTTTTCAATAAAAAAAATCGACATGGAATGCGCTTAATTAATTATATATGAAGTAAATAAATTTTCTACATGTAATTTTATCTTACCTTCGAATTCAATTGTTTAAAACTTGATTACGAAAACTCAATTTTAACACTTAAAATTAAGAGTTGGTTCATATTGGATAGACAGGAATATGAACCTATGGCCAATTTCATGTGTAATTAATTAAGTAGAAAACAGAGGGTCATTACCTTCTATTTAGTCTTGGCACAAGATGTTGCTATCTCCTCGCATTATTATATATTATTATTAATTGCCTATTTATGTGGACAAAATACAAATGATTTGTAGAATATTCAAACATTATTATTATTAATTGCTTATGTGAACAAAATACGAATGATTTTTTCAAACAATAAAGTAGGTGAGTCAAGATATATAGATAAATATAGTAATTGGGTGTTTGCTGATGCCGTGTAGGGTATTTTTTAATTAAAAATATATTAAAATAATATTTTTTTTATTTTTATGGGAGCGCGCATGATATTAATTAATTTTAAAAATATTAATTTATGGGAGCGCGCATGTATATTAATTAATTTTAAAAATATTAATTTAATATTTTTCAAATAAAAAAAATAATTATTTCATGTCATGTGAATTATGCCGAAGAATAAAAGGCTGGTTCAATAATTAAATTAAAAACTAATCAAGGAATTGTACATATTCCCAATATTAACATAGATTAATTATATAAATCATGAATGGCAATGAAAATAAAGAAGGGAAACTTGACAGCTTGGATTGAGTTGCCTTTGGGGTACTCCACTACAAGTATTTCATGTCATGTAAGTTATTTTTATATATACTAGCCTGATTTGCTAACAACTGACTTGGAAAATTCTCTACTTTACTTATCGTAATAACAATAACAACAAGGAAGAAGAGGAGCTAGGAGGAGAATGACTAGAATCTTTTTAATAACATTATTGTTGTGTGAACTGAAGAGCATGCTAGCTTGAGTTAGGAGCGCTGCTACTGCCTCTATAAGAAATTTCCCCGAGTAACAATATATAATGGTAATCCTAATACAAACATGTATCAGGTGCAAATTAATTTTCATAGAACGCGAAATTTGAGAGAGAGAGAGAGAGAGAGAGCAAATAGGCTGGGATTTTCTTAATCTTTTTCTTGTGTTTTGCCATATATACTTGCACACCTGAATACATTCGAATCGAACATGGCGGTGGGTAAACTAAACTACATCATCATCGAAGATTATTCAGAGATGAAAAGAAAAGAGTACTGGAGGGGCCGGGGGGGCGGGGCAGTGAAGTGCCAAGAAAGGGGCAAACTTAGGGTGGTGAGCTAGCGTGTCTTGTGGCATGTTAAGATGAGATACACGTTGGGGGTAAAAAGCTACAGATTTCTAGTTATTATGCACGAGTATGAGGATGTAGCTTTCTCAGTATTTTTTTTAATTAAATTCGGGAAATGAAGATTTCGATACGGTAGAAGAAGTACCGTGGAGGATGAAAGATTAAACAAACAAAAAGAAATTGAGGTGAGAAATGGAATATATATATATATAAGGGAGGGAGGGAGAGGCGTACAAGCAAGCCAAAAGCTCCTCCTATTTCCTAGAAAAGATGGAGTTTGGAAGGGAGAGAGAAGAGAGGATGAAATCCAAAGGTTTGACTGTACCCGAAAAATGAGAACAAATTTTAAAAAATAAGTGGGGGAGCAACAGATTCACATCTCCCACAATTCACTCTTCCCTTCCCTTCCCTCCCTCCCTCCCTTTGCCTTCTCTCTCTCTCTCTCTCTCTCTGTTCCCTTGCCTACCCCCAATGCACCACCATTCAACCTGTCCTCTCAAGAGACTCACTACTACTAATATTCTATTCTCCTCTCTCTCCCTCTGAAATGTGTGCGTGTGGAGATTTCACTTTACTTGGTCTTGACATCTTTTTCTTTCTTTACTTCTATGCCTATTTTCTTCTCCTCCTCCTTTTCCTAAGCATCCACCTCTGCCTGGCACCTGGGCTGAGCAGCCTAGCACGACTGCTTGTTCTCGTTCGTGTTTCTGGCTGATTCTTGAATAATTTTGGTTTATTTGATTGGTAATGATGCTATTTCTAGTACTAGTTCATGTCTGTCACACGGTGGTAATGCTATCTGTCAACAAGTGACAGCCGACATTTCTTTCTTTCTGCACATCGTACCCTTCCCCTCACACACACGCACACTTCTGTCTTCTTCCTTAACTGATTCTCTGATTTCCTTGGACTTAATTTGTACTGTACAAGAAACCATCACATCACCTCCCCTCTACTTCATAACTTCTCCAGGTAAAATCCCCCCCTCCCTTCTCTTTCTCTTTTTTATTTTTTGATGTTATTATTATCAGTTTTTTTGGGGAAAAGGTTTGGAATTTTAGTACACTTGATTACTACCTTGATAGTGATTTCCACCATCTCTTTCTTTTCTTAATTTATTATTAATTAATACAACTTTTTTCTTTATTTCAGATTTTCAAGCAGCAAGTCAAAGTTTGGAAATTTGGTGAAATATGAAACCTCAGAAGATGATTTAATTAAGAACAGATCTCTAAATGCTTTGGGAGAGATGCTTCTTTGATTGGAAGGAAGATACAGAGAAGCTAACAGACAGAAGAAAGGAGAGATTAAGCTGTCATTTTTTCAAGATTGATTCAATTGCACCACTAATGCAGAGAGACTAATTAAGAGGGGATATTTCAGCAAATCTGAACACCCAGATTAACCCCAAAAGGAAAAAAAATGAAGAAACAATGGAGGATATCATCACAAAGGCCACCACCCAAAGCCATGATTAGAATCTTTGGTTATGTGTTGCTGTTGCTATTTATGCCATCATCATCACAAACCAGAGAGTTGTCATCGCAGCAAAGTACCAATGATGAAGTTGTGGGATTATTAGCCTTCAAGAAATCCTCTGTTCACTCTGATCCAAGTAATTTATTAGCCAACTGGTCTCCGAATTCTGCTACTCCATGTTCATGGTCAGGCATCTCTTGCTCTCTTGATTCCCATGTCACCACTCTCAACCTCACCAACGCTGGTCTGATTGGAACCCTAAACCTCTATAACCTAACTGGGGCCTTGCCATCTCTCAAACATCTTTATTTGCAAGGCAATTCTTTCTCTGCTTCTGATCTTTCTGCTTCCTCTTCTTGTGTTCTTGAGAGTCTTGACTTGTCTTCAAACAACATCTCGGACCCTCTTCCAAGAAAGTCCTTTTTTGAGTCTTGCAGTCACCTCTCTTATGTTAATCTCTCTCATAATTCCATTCCTGGTGGTTCCCTTCGATTTAGTCCTTCCTTGCTACAGCTTGACCTCTCTCGCAATACTATTTCCGATTCCACCTGGCTGGCCTACTCTCTTTCCACCTGCCAGAACTTGAATCATCTTAACTTCTCCGATAACAAGCTTGCTGGAAAACTTGCGGTGACTCCCTTGTCCTGCAACAGTTTATCGGTTTTAGACCTATCATACAATCTATTATCTGGGGAGATACCACCTAATTTTGTTGCAGACTCTCCATCTCTCAAATATTTGGATCTCTCACACAACAACCTCTCTGCCAACTTCTCCAGCCTTGATTTTGGGCACTATTGCAATCTTACTTGGCTCAGTTTGTCACAAAATAGGCTCTCCGGCATTGGATTTCCATTAAGTTTGAGGAATTGTTTGCTTCTACAGACGCTTAACCTCTCCCGTAACGAGCTACAATTAAAGATTCCTGGTACCTTTTTGGGGAGTTTCACGAATTTAAGGCAGTTGTCTCTGGCTCACAATCTGTTTCATGGTGACATTCCTCTTGAGTTGGGACAGACCTGTGGAACTCTACAGGAATTGGATCTATCAGCAAACAAACTCACTGGTTGCTTGCCGCTGACTTTTGCATCGTGTTCTTCTATGCAGAGTCTGAATCTTGGCAACAATCTACTCTCCGGGGATTTCCTCATTACTGTTGTAAGCAATCTTCAAAGTCTGATATATCTGTATGTTCCATTCAACAACATTACCGGTACCGTCCCTCTTTCTCTCGCAAATTGTACTCAGCTTCAAGTGCTTGACCTCAGTTCTAATGGCTTCACGGGGGATGTTCCTTCTAAGTTGTGTTCCTCCTCGAATCCAACAGCACTCCAAAAGTTACTCCTAGCTGATAATTACCTATCAGGAAAAGTTCCATCCGAGCTTGGAAGCTGCAAAAACCTGAGGAGCATTGATCTTAGTTTCAACAGCTTGAATGGACCAATTCCCTTGGAGGTTTGGACCTTGCCAAATCTTTTGGACTTGGTAATGTGGGCAAACAATCTCACTGGTGAGATCCCGGAAGGCATTTGTGTTAATGGAGGAAACCTCGAGACTTTGATTCTCAATAACAATCTCATCACAGGAAGCATTCCTCAGTCCATTGGTAATTGCACTAATATGATCTGGGTTTCTCTTTCCAGCAACCGGCTTACTGGAGAAATTCCTGCTGGCATTGGAAATCTAGTTGACCTGGCTGTTCTCCAAATGGGTAATAATTCACTTACCGGGCAAATACCACCAGAGCTTGGCAAGTGTCGGAGCCTCATTTGGCTTGATTTGAACAGCAACAACCTAACTGGTCCTCTTCCACCTGAGCTTGCAGACCAAGCTGGTCTAGTTGTTCCTGGAATTGTATCCGGGAAGCAGTTTGCATTTGTAAGAAATGAGGGTGGGACATCATGCCGAGGTGCTGGGGGACTGGTTGAATTTCAGGGGATCCGGGCAGAAAGGTTGGAAAATCTTCCTATGGTTCACTCTTGTCCTACAACAAGAATTTATTCTGGCATGACAGTTTATACATTCGTCACAAATGGCAGCATGATATTCCTTGATCTTGCCTACAATTCGTTGTCAGGAACTATCCCTCAAAATTTTGGTTCGATGAGCTATTTGCAGGTCTTGAACTTGGGGCACAATAAGCTAACTGGAAATATTCCTGACAGTTTTGGGGGTTTGAAAGCGATTGGAGTTCTGGATCTCTCACACAATGATCTCCAAGGATTTCTGCCAGGGTCTTTAGGGACTCTCTCATTTCTTAGTGATCTTGATGTGTCGAACAACAACCTCACTGGTCCTATCCCTTCTGGAGGGCAGCTAACTACTTTCCCCCAATCCAGGTATGAAAACAATTCTGGCCTCTGCGGTGTACCATTGCCCCCTTGTAGCTCTGGAGGTCACCCACAAAGTTTTGCCCCTCGGGGAAAGAAGCAATCTGTGGAAGTAGGGGTGGTCATTGGCATCACATTTTTCGTCTTATGCCTCTTTGGTCTTACATTGGCTCTTTATCGAGTAAAGAGGTACCAGCGGAAGGAAGAACAGAGGGAGAAGTACATCGACAGCCTCCCAACTTCAGGTAGCAGCAGCTGGAAACTTTCAGGTGTTCCTGAGCCTTTGAGCATCAACATTGCCACTTTCGAGAAACCTCTAAGAAAGTTGACTTTTGCCCATCTACTTGAAGCTACGAATGGTTTCAGTGCTGATAGCTTAATAGGGTCTGGTGGATTTGGAGAGGTATACAAGGCACAACTAAAAGATGGATGTATTGTTGCTATAAAGAAGCTGATTCATGTCACAGGTCAGGGGGACAGAGAGTTTATGGCAGAAATGGAAACTATTGGGAAGATCAAGCACCGCAACCTGGTTCCTTTGTTGGGTTACTGCAAAATTGGAGAGGAGAGGCTTCTTGTGTATGAATACATGAAATGGGGGAGTTTAGAGTCTGTTCTTCATGACAGGTCCAAAGGAGGATGCTCAAGGCTTGATTGGGCAGCAAGAAAGAAGATTGCAATAGGGTCAGCAAGAGGCCTTGCTTTCCTTCATCACAGCTGCATACCTCACATTATCCACCGTGACATGAAGTCTAGTAATGTTCTTTTAGATGAAAACTTTGAAGCGCGGGTATCTGATTTTGGAATGGCAAGATTGGTGAACGCCCTTGACACACATCTTAGCGTGAGTACACTTGCAGGAACTCCAGGTTATGTGCCCCCTGAGTATTATCAGAGCTTTAGATGCACATCAAAAGGGGATGTCTACAGCTATGGTGTCATACTTCTGGAGCTCCTCTCGGGCAAGAAGCCCATAGATTCCGCTGAGTTTGGTGATGATAACAACCTTGTTGGATGGGCAAAGCAGCTATATAGAGAGAAGAGAAGCAATGGGATACTGGACCCTGAGTTGATGACACAAAAATCTGGAGAAGCTGAATTATACCAGTATTTGAGAATCGCATTCGAGTGCCTTGATGACAGGCCTTTCAGACGGCCGACCATGATACAGGTTATGGCTATGTTCAAAGAGCTTCAGGTTGACTCTGAAAGCGATATCCTAGATGGATTCTCCTTGAAAGATGCAAGCATTGATGAATTCAGGGAGAAAGAGTCCAGCTAATGATGTTTAGCTTTTGATTGGACTTTAAGGTTTTGTCTTTTGGCACCTTTGATCTGCTCTGCCTGTGATTACAGATATGGAAGTGGTCATTTGCGCTTCTGAATTGGATATGGGGTAATCCTTCAAACTTCAGCTACTGTAAATAATAGAATGCTGAAATGACACTGAGAAAGTTGCTGGAAAATGGGGAGAGAACAAACGAGCGGGTCTTTCAGTTGCTCAACGATGGGTAACTTATACTTTTTGTTTCCATTGATCATGATGTATAATGCAAAAGACTTGAAACTGTCTCTCTTCACCATTAGCTTCTTTATTCCGTCACAGTTTTGCTAACTGATGCTTCACTATTTGTTTGTTTATTTTCCAATTATTGCTGTTTATAGGAAGCCATGATTTTAGAAATGAACACACAGTTCTGTAAAGTTGTAGTGGTAGCATTGTTGGAAAGTAAATCACAAAGTACATTTCTTGCATTTAGTAGTAAACTTCAGTAGATGATGTGGAACGGATTACGGCAATTGATTCAGGAATATGATGATCCACAAGCATTTCTTTTCCAGTCAACCCCTGTAACATTCCCATTAGTCTTTTGCCCCTATCCTTTTACGGATCGTCATGAAGGCTATACCGTTTCAAGCTGCTTTAGATTTATTACACACCCCAAATCAAGTTGCAACACACGCCGCCATCCATTTAACTGAAGCGCCCCTGGGGAGGCTGCTAAAGATTATCTAAGTTTCTTTTCAAGAACCCTGTAGAATTTTTGACATCATCCTATTGAGATTCATTGAGAATGTAATAAGAAAGTTTTGGAATGTAATTAGATTTATATTCTCGTTGTTGATTGCAACCGTTGTAAACAAGCAGCATCTCAAGTAATGGAATCTCTTGTAACAACTTGTGCTCATCTCATTGCGCTTTCAAAGGATCCATTGGCAGTGTAAAACGGATAAATAAAGAAAGAAAAGGCAACTCTTGACAATATGGTGACATAAGCAAATGCTGGTGATTTTTGTCTGATATATGGCATCCTGCGTGTTGAGTGTTAGGCCCGTTATGATCTTTGTTTGCCTGTTTTATCAAGAAAGGTCTAGCACTAGGTTTCTGCTTAGGAATATGAATCTTTTGAGCATCGTCAACATCTCTTTTATTTAGATTCCAGGACTCAAAACTCTCTCATGATGTTCTTGATAGAACTCTTGTGGTTGATAAAGATGCATTTGTCAACACAAGCATGCATGTAAACAAATCTTTCCTGGCTCGAATTCTTCCTACTGAAAGTCCTCAGATTGCTTCTGATTTTAGGGAAGAAAAAAAAACCCAACGTGGCCCACCATTCCTGTTTTCTTCAATCCAGTTTGATTTTTTTTTTCATTTTTTTTATTCCAAGACGTCATCTAGTCTCAAATCCATCCAGTTGGGGGATTGATCATGAATAACAATGTTGTTGTTTTTTAATTATTTTTTGGTTGAGGATAAGATTGTTTCTGTTCCTTCTCAATTCTCATGGCATTAGCATAGTCCCTTATGTTCTTTTTTGGTGATGCAGGCATTTCAAACCATGCCTTTTACATGGAGCTATTTCTGTGAGAAATTAAAGCAAATGTTACAGTGAGCTCAACTGTGCAGCTCCATGCACCTGAGTCGAGCCCCCTCCCTATAGCTTCCATAATATTTATTATAATCCTTTTTTGGGTTCTGTACAGAAAAAATATATAAAAAGATAAAAAATATAGTCAGAAAAAATTCAAAAAAATAATGACAGTATAAAGAGAATTTCAGAACACTTAGAAAATGACTAAAAATTAGTTGAGGAGATTTAAAAATACAAATATTGAAATTTAATAGTATATTGTTGGCCGACGAAAGCCTTGTAGATGAAGAAAATTTGATTGGAAGAAGAAAAGTCCAAAATCAAATATTTATGAATTCAATTAAATTTTATTAAAGGTTTAATTAAATTTATGGAAAGTTTGATTACAAGAAAAAATTGATGTTTAATTCAATTTAGGCTTTAATTAAAATAAATTAAAGTTCTAAGGTCAGATTATATTTTTTAAGAGTTGATTTGATCAAATCAGGGGCTTAATTGCATAAATATTAAAGTTTAATGGTCAATTAAGGACTTGATTGAAGAAATTCAAAATCAAGGACTAAACTAAAAAAAGCTCATGAATAGAGGGACTGATTTGAAAATTAGCTCTTTGGTGCCTTTTTTCTTTAAATGAAATGATGCATTTTTGTCAAAATAGTGTCATTTTATTGCATTATTATTATTATTATTATTATTATTATTATTATGCTAATAATAATAATAATAATATAAGGAGGGTGAGCACGAAATAATGTCGTTTTGAACGACACCGTGCTTCTTCTTCCCCTGCACATGGCAGAGGCAGGGGAAGAAGTTTCTCTCCCTGCAACACAGTCTCTCTCTCTCCACCCCACTTGCTTAAGAAACCCAGCAAGGACCCATGCCCAAACATGCCCTGCCACCACACCATGCCACAATGATGAAGAAAGTTAGGGGAGCTATGCTCTGCCAGCAACTCCCTAGCTCAACTTACCCTATTTTTTAGCACCCCCTCCTCTAGTAAGTTGACCCTCTCCTTCTCTGCCTATAAATACTAGAGGACTGGTGCTAAAAAAAATAGGGGGGAATTTTTCTGAAGAGAAAGGGGTGAAGAGCAAAGGAAGAAAAACACAAAGTAAAAGGAGAAAAGAAAAAAATAGGGGAAAGAATAAAGAAGAGAAAACAGGGAAGGAAACAGGGGGGAGAGACCAGAAGATGGGGAAAAATTGAAACAGAAAAAGAGAGGGAAAGAAAAATCAAGGTAGAACAGAGGAGGGAAAGGGAAAAAGAAGAAAAAAAAGGAGAACAGAGAACAGATAAAGGAACGAGCTAAAAGAAAAATAAGGATTACTATCTTTAAAATATCTCTTATTTACCCTCGTTGTGGGGGTGTGATCCTAGTCAGGGTTTGTTTAAAAAAATATTCCATCAGGCTTAAATGAGGACAATAAGGGATATAATCTTTAGAAAGTGAAGGGATAACAAAGATGGTCTGTTTTCATTTCAAATAAGGTCAGTTAAAACTGATAAATTTTGACTTCATTCGTTGAATGATTTGGAAATCCATAATTGGTGGATAATTTTATCAAGCAGTACAAGTACAACCTCGACATCACTCCCAACAAAACCAGCTTGCCCAATCTAGAGAAAAGAACAAGAAAGAATAAGGGAACACGCTCAAAGATGGCGAGAATCAGCTGTTGAAGTACATCCTCCACTTCTGGACAAAGAGATGGTCTCTTTATTTGCCAACACACTCAAAGCGCCATATTACAAACATGTGATGGGTAGTTCAACCTAATAATTCATTGACTTTATGATAGTGTATAAATGCATAGAGCAAGGTGTCAAGAGTGGTAGAATTTCTGCACCTATCGAGAAAAAAGGCTTCAAAAGAAAACAAGTCCATCATGTTGAAGATAACTATAAGGATAGGAGAAACTCATCCAAAAACTACTACATTCCATCCCACATTGTCAACATTAAAAAACATGAGCCCTAAAATTTTAAAGTCAAAAGCTAAATTAGAAATTACCAAAGAGTCTAAGAACAATTACCTCCATTACTGCTGCCCCTAAATGAGATGTACCATAAACTATTAAGCATTGGGTAGATAACTCTTGATTCTCGAGTACTTTGCAGCCACCTGATCCTAATTTGTAAAGCTAGAGCTCACTTGTGAATACCATACTGGTATTGCTGGGCATAGCATCCATACTTGCAGCGTCTTTAAGAGAAAGCTTCTACAATTAATCAAGGCTAGGTGAATAGAATTGGAAGAAACCCATAATATGAACACAAACCCATTGCAATCATAACAAATAAAAATAATAGCATAAGAATCAACTAAAATTACTTCCTCAGTAACGGCACCAAAATTTTTTACGATGTCACAATCGCATAAATTAATTACCTTAGCTTCAAACACAACACACAAGATAGTATAGAGCAAGCAAGAGATTGATCCCATGAGGAAGGTTCAAGTTAGATTTTTATACTAGATGATATGCAATTTTCAGGGAGGGGGGGGGTTGGATGTTATCTAGGCTAAAGAAAGAAAAACAAAAAACTATCAAGCAAAATTTAATAAAATCAAAAAATTATCAAGAGAATAAACTTTGGTCGCAAGCACACATCCACTTATAAAAATTAGAATTGATCATGGAAACGAGACATCAATTTATATTTTGAATTTTTATCCCTTCTTAACATTAGTTACTTAATAGATCCGCCATATAACTAACATTAACCATCAAACAACTACAATGTCCACACTAGTAATCTAATTCAATGATAGCCTTAAGAACTATATAAGTTGATTAATCAAGAAAACTTAATTGTCTGTAATCTATGTTTGATTTGATTGAATGTTCTCCCTAATATTAATACCCCCGCCATAATTATTAAACTCAGTTGCTTTACAAGTTCATATACCACAACTCTGGTTTTGATATCAAACTTAGCAATAGATTGTCTACAATAATAACTTTGAATATGTTCTAACAATTAAAATAAACAATCTTAGAAAAAATAAGTATAAGAGAACAAACATATTCATCATATAAACTGAAAAGAAAAGGTAAAATAAATCTCACAATTCTTGAAATTCGAAGGTTTTCATGTCATTACAACTAAGAAAATGAGTTTAGCCTTGCATATTTGTTGAAAAACTAATGAAAAAGAAAGAGGAAAGCATGATTTCAGGCTTCTTAGAGGAGGGGGGCATTTTTCTCCTCTTGGTTGGCTGCCCCCATTTTGTTCTCTCATTCTTTTTATATGACCTAATTACCGGACAGTGTTCCGGTTTGGATTGCACCGCTATCTCTTTTCTAGGTTTGACCATCTCTTTGTCCTTTCAATTTCAGTTCTTAAAGTCATCAATCAATCCTTTCATTTATGTGATAGGCCTACATTTAAAATAAATATTTACCATAAATTAAAGGTATCTTATATTATTAGATATATTATTATAAAACATGCTTTAGTTAAGGAGTTATTGATACTTCAAGTGCAAAATAATGACATAAAACCTTGATAAAAAATGCACTTTTAAGTACTAATCATTTAGATTGCTGGAACTCCAGATATGGGCCAAACACTAAACAGTGCACGGGCTAGAGGACATATTCAGACTTCTTTGTTGTTGCTACAATTTGGACTTACAAATGGTCTTTTTAAATCTTGAGCTCCATATAAACATTATAGGCCTAAATCTTACATTTCTATCCATATAAAGTAGACTATTGTAGGCTTAAATCTTACCTTTCTATCCATATAAAGTAGACCTAAAAGACCCAATTTGGACTGCACCATCTTTTTTTCTAAGTTTGGCCATCTCTTTGTCCTTTCAATTTCAGTTCTTAAATTCATCAATCAATCCTTTTATTTATGTGATAGGCCTGCATTTAAAATGAATATTTACCATAAATTAAAGGTATCTTATATTATTAGATATATTATTATAAAACATGCTTTAGTTAAGGAGTTATTGATACTTCAAGTGCAAAATAATGACATAAAACCTTGATAAAAAATGCACTTTTAAGTACTAATCATTTAGATTTCTGGAACTCCAGATATGGGCCAAACACTAAACAGTGCACGGGCTAGAGGACATATTCAGACTTCTTTGTTGTTGCTACAATTTGGACTTACAAATGATCTTTTTAAATCTTGAGCTCCATATAAATATTGTAGGCTTAAATCTTACCTTTCTATCCATATAAAGTAGACCTAAAAGACCCAATTTGGACTGCACCATCTTTTTTTCTAAATTTGGCCATCTCTTTGCCCTTTCAATTTCAGTTCTTAAATTCATCAATCAATCCTTACATTTATGTGATAGGCATGCATTTAAAATGAACATTTATCACAAATTAAATGTATACTATATTATTAGATATGTTATTATAAAACATGCTTTAGTTAAAGAGTTATTGATACTTTAAGTGCAAAATGATGATATAAAACCTTAAAATTAGGCTTCCAAACTTAATTTTTTATCAATTAAGCCTAAAATAAAATTAATTTGATCCATTTAAAATATAATTAAGTCCTTACACTTAATTACATCCTTCAATTAGAACTAAATTGATTCTTAAACATAATTAAAATTTAATTTGGCCCATGATTAAATCAAATTAGCCTATTAAAAATTTAATTATATTCTCGGACTTAATTTTTATGCAAATTCATCCAATAATTATTTTATTTGACCTTGAATTTATATTTTTTTCTTTATTTTTAGGCATAATAAGGTATAATTAGGCCTTGAATTCCTCCAAAATTACAGCTTGATTCCCTAATTTGCTTTCTCTAACTTTTCAGTCTTTATTGTTATTTTTTTTATTTTAAAAAGAAAATGATTTATGAGAAATAACTCAGAATTGAGTTATGACACATAATAACCCATTTCTGGTGGATATGGGGTGGATCATTAGCCCATCCTACATGACTAAGTTAAGTCCAGTCTTGCAGAAAGTAGGCCTAATTTTCTATAGGCCGGGTCCGGCCCGGTAAAAGAAATATATAAAAAATTATTTTGAAATTCATGATTTTCCCGCGTAAATGTTTAATGATATTTTGATTAATATTAGTTTATATTTTTATACTATAAAGATACAAATCTAGTATTAAAATGCCCCGTTTTCATAAAAATGAAACGTTTTTATGCATACAACCAAGTCTTTCAAAGATTAAAAAAAAATCATATTATGTTTTCATATAATACAAAAAACTTCAAAATATGTTTTAACATGTATTTTGACTTTAATAACCAATTTATTAAACTCACAAGAACTAGACTAAAATTTCAAAAAAAAAATTATTTTGTTTGTCTTATAGTATCTAGGGTACTATATTACACGTAAAAAGTATTCCGGATATCAAAGTTTTTTGTGGATGGTGGAATTTTTAGGTTTTACCCGATAAAATAAAGATTTCTTTTCTTAAACTATAGATAGATCAAAAAAATTAGAAAACATGACAAGACCGTAGATTTTTATCAAACAATAAAACAATGTAGCTTACTTTAAATATGACGTAGTTAAAATATTAATATTTTATCTTTACATATACATGACAAGACCATAGATTTTTATCAGACAATAAAACAATATAGCTTACTTTAAATATGACGTGGTTAAAATATTAATATTTTATCTTTACATAATCAGTCTCTATATTTAATTTTTAAAATCAATTAGAGTTTTTAATAATTAAAATATTAAATAATAATTTTTATTTTATTTTTTTAATAATAAAAAACAAAAATTTCTTATACCTTCGTATTCGTAGAAGGCATGGACAAATTCCACAATGCCACACACGTGGAAAAACATTACAGGGCATTTCCTAACCTGCATGTGACTGTGTAGATAGATACCTGCATTCAACGTATGATCTCCTTGATTACAGTGCTTCAATCCTTTCCTGTCTAATCATTCAAGTCAGTCCTGAATCACGATTGATGCCTGTAAAACATCCATGACTTGGAAAGGCCCACAGACAAGTATATATGCAACCCAAGTAAGATAGTTTTCTAGGCTCAGTATGGGCCAAAACAATGCTAATCCAAGGCACACGTCTACTGCACAGCAGGGCTCTTTCAGCTCTTCTAAGATGGGGTCCATATGGCCCACTGGGAACAGAATCTTGAGATTATTCAGCCATGGAATTCAGTCCAAGGAGAGGTCCCATTGACAGGAAAACTGGCTAATTCTCTGACTCGAGTTCTACCTTGAAAGAGTCCAAGATTGGCTTACAGCGTCCCAATCCCACCCTTTTTGAGGTCCCCCACCAATAACAACTTTTATAATTTTCCTGGGTTTGTGACAAAAATGGAGACAAACAGGTTGTGAAAGTCACACAGCAGACAGCACCTCACTAGGCTTAAACGGTTGCTTGGTCTCTAGCATGAATCAAGGCGTCTCGAGCAACAAATTCTGAAGATAAAGTGCAGGTCCTTCGGCTTTGGTAAAAATAGAGGTACGTGATGAGAATATGTTCACGAACATTTCACAAGTCAGAACTAAATAAGAATTAGCATATACATATATCCCTGTCATGATTTCATCTCTGATGTTGCTTCCATTTCTTAGTTTTTCTTTCTAAAAAGCGGTAGCAGGCAGTAATCTCCCAAGCATGTTACCGCAGGAAAGGTGAAATCAGTCCTGCAATGGGGGTCCACTTGCCAATGGATTTGATTTGTTGTGAAAACATGGGCAGTGTAAAAAAGACAAACACTTGGTCAAAGAGTATCTTTTTGACTGGGAAGCGAGGTAAGATGAGATGAAAGAAAGAAAGAAGTGCCCATCGGACGTCTCATTTCCTGGATAATCCTTTCCACATCAAAATCACAGACCGAACCAGCAAATAAGACTTGTAATCAGCAAATAGAGTGAGATTGCACCATGCATGCAGCAGCACTACTTCTCACTCCTAACTTGTGATTCTGAGAGTGAATGATTGAATTGAGAAAAAGGGGTGAAAGTATTCTTTTTGGTTGATAATACTGTTGCATGCATGCCTGCCTGCCTGCCTCCCTGCTATTAAATGATCTGACGATCATCGTTTATCACTGTCAATTAAACGTGAAATAACTTTTCATCGCGTGCATTCAAAGATTTTTGGTTGAAAACTTACCACTACTAGCCGGCTAGTCCTGTGTGACATTGCGTTGGTGATCATTGCTAGGTTGTCCATGAACAGGGTAAGGTTAGGTTTGAGGTTAGGAATGTTACATTTGCAGTCCAACTTGGTATATCTATTTCTCTTTATGATAGCTAGCTTTTGAAAAACTATATGTTTTCATTACATTTTTTTTTCCATGATGGCGAGGATGTCTTTAAGCAATTTATAGGTTAATTAATATTATTTCTCTTAAGAAGATAATCTTAAAATTGCATCTCCTGTTTTAACTTGAAATATTTAAGATTTCAAGAATTGTTTTTTTTATATATATATAAAAGGGAATAGGATGGTAGGAAGAATAGCTTTAATTACTTGATTGGTGAGTGGGCAGCTCCTCACAAGATCAGATCAGATCAGATCAGAGCGCCAGCAGTACCGAAAGAAAATTCTTTCTCCCTTATTTAGCAAAGGAGGGGAGAGAGTAGGATGAGGCCGGTATTGCTGCGTTGCATTTGCACTGAAAAGATTAGGGAATTGGATCCCCTTAACAGTCAGAATTAGGAAATGTAACGCTCTACTATGATTTATTACTATGAAACATAAAATTAATCCTTATTATTATGAGTTTGTAAGATGGTTCCAAGAGAGAGGTTTAAAAATGGGAATTAAGCCCTTTTCCATTTGTCCCCATCCTAGACTCCATGATCCTGCATCCTTGGGGCCTCCGTACGTTCACAAAGCAAGCAAGACTCTTAAAATCCATGGTGAATGTGCTCTTGAATAAAAGTGTTGAGAATTACTTTTCTTTTTTTTTTATTTGGTAATAAAAACAATATTCGAAAAAACTAATCCAAAAACCAGAATCTAAGATCATTTTTAACCGCAGCACCAGGAGAGGATGGATTGGATGATTAGGAGATTATTGGATCTCAATAGAAGATTGAGTTAGTTATAACATCTTTCACTTTCATAGGAGGTAAAACACACAGGTGTTAGGCACCTATGAAATTTGACACCCCAACGTTACACATATTTGCCATTATTGAATCTTGTTTTTCCTCTTCATTCCAGCCTCAGCAACCACTCTTTTATCCCCAAAATCCCAAATCCTTAATCCCCTGCAACCCTCCCTCCTCTGCACCCTGCCTTTTCAAATCCATCTCGACCACCCATCTCAAGACATGTTTGGCAACACTGCCCTTCAGCACCCGCGTGGCACTTCCTAACTGCATCTGCTGAGAAGGGCCCCACACCTTGCTGTTTATTTATTCAAGAGAGTTAAAAAAAATGCTGGCGAAAGAGGAAGGTTATTGTGGAAACTAGAAACAAGAAGATGAAACATGCTGTTCCATAAAGCTTTTGTTTTTTGCTTTCTTTTCCTTTTCATTCTTCAAAGATTCCATCCATTTCTGGTCCCCCACCATTCCATTTCCACAATCATCTCCTCTCCTTTTTAACCCTGTCTGTTGGTTTTTATTTTTGTTTTAAAAAACCTCTTGACTGTAAATAAATAAAGGTGATTCCTTTTTGTGATTTTGGTTTTCAAAATCAATAAACATCATCATATCATTTTTGGGCTAAAACAAAAAAGTTGGTCATTTCCATTTCTATTGAATTAAACAGAGAGGTGATCAAAGGAACCGGACTTCATTCATTGAAGGGGCAGGTTGGTGGTGGTGGTGGTGAAGGTTGAGGTGTGGTGGTGGGTCTTTTTCCTAAGATATCATCATCTTAGCCTGACTCCTTAATCAATCAGGTAATCATTTTTAATCATTCTCTCTCTATCTCCCTTTTTTTTTTTGTATCTCTCAAGTTTTTAAACTCTTTATTAATATTATTGTTATTGTTGTTATTGTTATTATTGTATATCTGACAGGTATATCTTCCCTGCCATTTTAAGATACTGACCTTCAGCTTCATAATTTAAATCACCTTTTTAGTCTAAATCTTGGACTTTATTTTGTGGGGTGTTTTTTAATCTTCAGAATCTTTCTTATGTTGCGTTCTTTGGGTAATATCAAATGCCTTATTATTGTTAGATCTTGATGGGAAATATTTAAGCTTGGATGTTATGTGTTTCTAAGTTTGTAAATTTTTATCCCTTTCATTTTATTGGTTTTTAATGCTTAGTTGGAATTGGAAATCAGGCTGAGTTGGGTTCAATTTGAATAAGTTACTGGCAAAGTTGTTACTTGATAGCCGAATCTCTTTTTGATAACTGAAAATACATTGTTTGGATGCAATTTTTGTTTTTGTGTTGCTTTCCGGTTATTGTATACTAACCTCAAGTATGTTGCAGTTTGTTGAGTGAAAGTGTTGGTTTTGTAGCTTGAGTAAAACAAGAATTCAGTTGAAAAGGGCAACCTTTTTCGACCTTTTTTTCTACTTACATGCCCTTTGCAACTAAATTTATGGGGTTTTGTTTTCTGGCATGTTTGTGATTTGTGATTCTTTGAACTCCTGGGACTGTATTTTATTGAGCCATGTAGTAATATGCTTGCTTAAATCTTTCAGGCACTTAGCCGTCCCCATCGCCTTGGCTAATAGCTGCCTCAGACCTTGTTCCAAGGTTTTGGAAACATGGCTGGGATTGATGATAATGTTGCTATAATTGGTGACTGGGTACCTCCTAGTCCGAGCCCAAGAGCATTTTTCTCAGCAATGATAGGTGATGACATTAACTCAAGTACAATCACAGAACCCCATGGGGAGAATAGAACTAAAGGGCTCTTTCTGGGACAACCAGAGCAGATGACAACAGGAAATGCTGAAAAAAAGGATGGAGCACGAACTAGTGGTGCCCAGTTGACTGAATTGGGTTCATTTTCTGAGCAAAAATCAAACTCACGTGGAGGTCTCGTTGAAAGAATGGCAGCCAGAGCTGGATTTAATGCTCCAAGGTTGAATACAGAAAGTATCAGGTCTGCTGAAACTTCACTGAACCCTGAGATTAGGTCTCCTTATTTGACAATTCCACCTGGTCTCAGCCCAACAACCTTGCTGGATTCTCCAGTTTTCCTTTCAAACTTGGTAAGTTTTGGAATCTTGAAATTCATACATGCTGTTTGGTTGGCTCTTGGCCTTCAAGAGAAGTATTGTTGCCACCTTTGAGAAAAATGGAATCTGAGGAGACAGTGACAAGCTCTCAAGATTTGCAATCAATGCTTTATTCAAGTTAGATCAGAATAACAAAGAACTGAATCCAATAACATAACTTATTATATGCCAGATTGTTGCGCCAAGGCATTAATTCTGGTTAAGCTTTGATCATTATGAGCTCAATTAAATATAAGTACGACTTCTAGTTTTGATTTCTGTATTTATTGCCCAAATACAATGTCCTCATTCTGGGGTTGTTGCTTTCTTCTTTTCCCTTTTCTTCACATCTTGACGGATTAGGACCCTGATTTGTTACTTAAGATTATTGGTTGCTCGTATAAATTATAAGAGATCACTGGAAGATGTTTAGCTTTTTTTAATAATTTATAATTTTAGGTCATCTTCATATTTCTCTGTTTATTCAAGCATGATCTCATCATGTTTGATGGAATTTTGGGAAACAGATATTTTGGCATGTGATGACTGAATCTTTTCACACTGAAATTACATACAACAAATCTGGATTATGTGACAGCTTAGCTATAGATATCAATGTTTCAGTCAAATGCGAAAGTTTTAATTTTGTGCTGCAGCTCAAAAATTATGTAGGCCCTACCTTGCAAGTACCCATTTATCATGATGTTGTTGCTGTAAATCAGTGTCTTATGCTTGGACATGCATATTAAATGTCTTTTGATTTGGAAATAGGTTGACAAGCTATGGATTAATATCTGCACACCAGAGCATGTCTGGAGTAGCCACAGAAAAACCTTGATAAAACATGCTTTTTTGATATTTCTGAGGTCAAATTACTCAGTTCAAGGCTATTCTATCTGGCAATGACCATTGTTTGAGGCTCACTCAGTAGCATCTTAAATCTCTAATTTTTTTCTCTTTCCAAGATCAACGTTATATTACATTAATAGTACATTGAAAGTAAAAACATTTTTTTATGAGTTTTTCTGCCTTGCTCCTCAGGCTCAGCCATCTCCAACTACTGGAAAGTTTTCATTTTTTCCAAATGGTAGCAGTAAGAACTCCACAGTCAGCTCCAAACTTCCTGACAGAAGTAAAGAAACTTTCTTTGAAGACATCAATTCATCTTCTTTCGCATTCAAGCCTATGGGAGAATCGGGCTCTTCATTTTTCCTTGGTGGAACAAGCAAGGTAATTACACTTGGCAGTCTTGCCTTTTGACTATTTGTTTGGACAAAAAAAAAAAACAGCACTCTAAGCGTGAGACTTAGAAGGGAGTGGATGATATAAATAGGTAAATAATATCTGTCTTAGGGTTAAAATTTGCCTTCTTCATACAGATAACTTCAGCCACTTTCCCACAGCAATCCTTTCCCAGTATTGATGTTTCTGTTCACTCTGAAAATGCTCATCAGTCACATGATGTTGCACCCACCAAAGTTCAGTCTGAGAGTAGAAACTCCCTTCATTTTCCAGCAGAATTCTTCAAATTGACAACTGAAAAGGATAATGGAGGAAATACTGTAGCAGATCAGAGGACTTTTGATACTGTTAGTGGCAATGCTGAGCATTCTTCACCTCTTGATGAGCAACAAGATGAAGAAGGAGATCAAAGAGCCAGTGGAGATTCAATGGCTGCTGGTGGTACTGGTGGCACGCCATCTGAAGATGGATATAATTGGAGAAAATATGGACAGAAACAAGTAAAAGGAAGTGAATATCCACGGAGTTATTACAAGTGCACTCATCCAAATTGCCCAGTTAAGAAGAAAGTGGAACGTTCTCTCGAGGGCCATATAACAGAGATCATATACAAGGGGGCACACAGCCATCCCAAGCCGCTACCCAACCGGAGGTCAGCTGTTGGATCACTGGATACACAACTGGACATTCCTGAACAAGTTGGTCCACAGATTGGTTCTGTTAATGATTCGGCATGGGCAGGTACACAAATGGGAAATGCTGCAGGGACTTCTGATTGGAGGCGTGACAATGTTGAGGTTACATCTTCAGCATCTGGGGGCCCAGGCCCTGAAGTTGGGAATCCATCCTCCTTGGTACAGGCTCAGAGTGGAACTCCCTTTGAGTCAGCTGATGCCATTGATGCCTCATCTACCTTTTCAAATGATGAAGATGATGATCGGGCTACACATGGCAGTGTAGGTTACGATGGTGAAGGAGAAGAATCTGAGTCGAAGAGAAGGTTACCACTCCATCTCTTTGTTTTTCCATGCATGCACCTCTCATGACGTCATTGTCAGCACAAGATTTACTGATGTTGTTTGACATCTCAGGAAAATTGAAACATACGCAACTGAAATGAGTGGAGCCACTAGAGCTATTCGTGAGCCTAGAGTTGTGGTCCAGACAACCAGTGAGGTGGATATCCTTGATGATGGATATCGCTGGCGGAAGTATGGGCAGAAAGTTGTGAAAGGAAATCCAAATCCTAGGTTGTTAAATCAACATTGGCCTCTTGTTCAAACTCCCAGCCCACAAATGATAATAATCCTTCTTTCTTGTGCAGAAGGCAAGAAATCAAGTGTTCACAATTTGAAATTGATAATCGGGTGATTTTTTGCAGGAGTTATTACAAGTGTACTAGTACAGGCTGCACGGTTAGAAAGCATGTGGAGAGGGCATCACATGACCTCAAGTCAGTGATCACTACGTATGAGGGGAAGCACAATCACGATGTTCCTGCTGCTCGCAATAGCAGCCATGTGAACTCTGGCACCTCCACTGCCACCCCAGGCCAAGCTGCTGTTGCTGTTCAAACCCATGTTCACAGACATGAACCATCACAGGTTCACAACAGCATGGCTAGGTTTGAGCGGCCTCCTGCATTTGGATCCTTCAGCCTGCCTGGAAGGCAGCAGCTGGGGCCTTCGCCTGGCTTCTCATTTGGAATGAATCAACCTGGCTTGGCCAATCTTGCGATGGCTGGCTTAGGTCAGGGCCAACCAAAGATGCCTGTTATGCCCATCCATCCATACATGGCGCAGCAACATCCTGGGAATGAAATGGGATTCATGATGCCGAAAGAAGAACCAAAGGTGGAGCCTGTGACAGAACCTAGTCTGAACCTCTCCAACAATCCAACACTGTATCAGCAAATCATGAGTAGGCTGCCTCTTGGGCCTCAGATGTAAAATCTTCCATTTCCTTATATTCTCAAACGTTTATTTATTGTTGTTATAATTATTTTACTTCTGTTGCAAGGAAAATAGAAAACTTTCACTCCTCTCTCTATATATAAATGGGCAAAAACCATTCGTTCTCATTTTCCTCTTGATGTGGTGCTCTCATTTATGCATCGAAGCAAAAGCAGTATTTTCCGAGGAGGAAGCGCTGCTTGAGGTGTATCAAATCAGTGTTTTTAGATCTGTACTGCACTATCAAATTGGTTGGGATTGCAATGCGATATTAACAGAAACCTTACCCGAGGCGGAGGTTGGAGTTTCACACGGTGAAATTATTATTTTAGTTTTAGTGAAAAAAATAAGATGTTTTGTTACTTATAGTAGTTTTGTCTTTTCTGGAGTTCTATTTAACATTAGAATTGTTCCGGGGTGTGAATTTTTTTAATTTTTGCAATTAAAATATATTTTTACCTCTAGAATTGTTCACAAATGATTATTTAGTTTTTAAAAAAATTTTAGAAAGTCAAAATATTTATTTACTTCTCAAGCACCAAAAAAAAAATTATTATTACAGCTGTATCAAGGATTTTTTTTTTTGTTTTTCACTTATTAGAGAATAAGTAAAAATTTATTTTTACCCTAAAAAACAAAAATCAAGGCATAAGTCTCTGGCATCTGTGTCTCTCTCTCTCTCTTTTTTTTAATTCTTAAGTTTATTAAGAGCATTCTTGTATTTTTCATTTGGAAACCTGCTTTAAAAAATTTGTTGGTGCGTAATAATGACGTACTGATATATGGGTATGTTTTTTTTATTGTTTATAAAGTTTTTGGCTCTTTAATAAAAGTATTTTATATTTTTAATTAAAATTTATGTTATTTTATTATTTTTAATGTAGCCTTTATTATCTTTATTTTTTCCCTTATGTGAAAGTTTTTCTTTTTAATTTATCTCTCCAATTTATTGTTTTAATCTCTCTAATTTATTTTTTAATTTGATTTTTACCTTTATTTTTTTAATCACAATTTTTTGGGTGTTTAATTTTTTTTTATGTTTTATCTTTTAATGTTTAATTTACTTGGGAAAATGGGTTTTTGAGTTTTTCTTTTTTTGTGTTTTCAATCTAATAAGTTCATATAGTTTGAGACTCTTTTTTTTCTTCTCATTTTTTTTATGATTTTATTATTTTATACTATTGTAAAAAAATTGGTTAAGTGGTTGTTTTTAATTTTTTTCTGTATTGGTTTATTATGTCCTGGGTTTTTCTAATATGTTTTTAATAGAATTTTTTTAAAAAAATATTTTTTTTGTATTTGTTTTTTGAGGAGTTCTTTTTTATATATATACAAATGAGCTTTATTTTATAAAAAAATATTTATTGTAAAATAATATTTATGATATACTTAGCTTTGCATAATATTTTTTATTTTATTTAATTAGTTTTGTATGTTTTTTTATTTATTTTTAATAAATAAATTCAATAAAAATTTTAATTTTCAAGATCAAATATTTTGACATATATTTATCTATTAATTTTTTATTTATTGTTAATATTTTTTATTTATTTACATAAATAATTATTAATTTATTTAATTAAATACTTGTATAAATTTTTTAATTTATATTTTAATTTTTCTTATATATAAAATAACCAACAAACCTAATTTTATTTTATTTTTAAAAAAAAAAGAGATTACGCACCGAAACGCGTATTGTGTTGGTGGTAAATTATGAGTGTCATGTAATAGTGGGGACAGGCGGATTTCATTCATAGCAGGGACTCCCACTAGCAGGGCAGGAGTTGAACCGCAAGGTTACAGCATGAAATTGACATTAAACAGTCTATTGCCCTAAATAGAAATTGAGACAACAAAATATGATTTGATTAATTGCACAATCTTGCCTTCCATTACTTAATGATGGAGTAAAAAGAAAGAAAGAAAGAAAAATTGGTGGGAGTGGTGTCCAATATCAAAAGGATTTGGGTGGATCGAGTGGGGAGGAATGATCAGTCTTAGGGATAGAATCAGAATAAAAATAAATTCGAGTATCTAAATGGAATTTGGTTTTGGAACAAGCCAGATCGAATAGGTTGAGGTTGAGAAAAGGTGATTTTATTCGAGGACGGAAATACCAATTATATTTATTACCAGTTTAGCAGAGCAAAGAGAAAGGAAAAAAAAAAATGAAGGAGTAGAAGAAGCAATTTAATTGTCGTTGCGGAGAAGGAGGAGAAGAAGAGGAAGAGGAAGAAAGGCATATATATACACATACACATATACAATTATTTGATTTGATTTGATTCGGAATCTAGGAATGGAAAGAAAGAGATAAAAATGTTGAGAGAAACAATGGAAGACGGCGATCAGAAGCATATCCTCCTCAAATCCAATTCATCAATTACACAACAACACGATGACCATGACCAACAACCACTAGTTCATGTTGCAGACAATAACGACTTGGAAGCAGCACAAGCAGGAGGAGGAGGACGAGGAGGAGGATTCAACAGAAGCAGCAGTGATAACAGCAGAGGAGGACATAAGAAGACTGCTGCTATCAAAGATCTGATTCGAGGTTTCTCAGGTCGTCGTCCCTCCTCCTCTCTCAACAACAACAATCTTCATTATCATCATCTAGACGACGAAGACGACGACACTCCATCCATATCAGATCATGACCACCGCCAAAATCGTAATTATGACCACCGTGTTAAGAATATTAATGATCACGACGACGGCGACGTTTTAGAGAATGGTGCCACTCCTGAATGGGCCTTGCTTCTTATTGGTTGCCTTCTCGGTCTCGCCTCCGGTCTCTGTGTCGCCGCTTTCAATAAAGGGGTTTGTTTTTCCCTGCCTTCTTCTCTCTCTTTGTTTAATTCATCTGGATGGATCTCTCTCTCATTCTCATTGTACTTTGCTGGTCAGTTTCTGTTTAATTTCTCAATAATTGGCTGTGCTTAAGTTTTTTTTTTTATTATTATTGATTTTGCTTACTACTCAATTCTCTGCCATAAGCCTTTTAACAATCAACTGTGCAATCACATCACATTTGTCTCATATTGAAGAAGAAGAGCAGCAAGGGGGAAGAAAGAAAATAAAAAAAAATAAAAAAAAGGCGTACATGTTTCTTTCTTATGCTTTTTCATGCACTTATGTTTGCATTGCTAGTTTCCTCAGGATTTCGGTCATTTATATCTTGGTAATGCTTCTTTAGGTTCATTTAATTCATGAATGGGCCTGGGCTGGGACTCCAAACGAGGGTGCTGCATGGCTCCGCCTGCAAAGGCTGTCAGACACTTGGCATCGGATTCTTTTAATCCCTGTCGCTGGAGGAGTTATTGTTGGAATGATGCATGGCTTGGTTGAAATATTGGAGCAAATAAGGCAGAACCTTTCTTCTCACCGAAAAGGTTTTGATTTGGTCGCAGGAGTGTTTCCTACAGTGAAAGCTATTCAGGCAGCTGTTACTTTAGGTACTGGTTGTTCTTTGGGTCCTGAAGGACCTAGTGTAGACATCGGCAAATCATGTGCCCATGGATTCTCTTTAATGATGGCAAACAATAGAGAAAGGATGAATACTCTTGTTGCAGCTGGCGCAGCTGCTGGGATTTCTTCAGGTATCTCTCCTTTTTTACATGATAAGATTTTGTTTCTGCTTATTTGCTTCCTTTAGATAATCACCATTTCAAAAGCCAGATATTACCTGGCTGCGGCTGGCTGCTTTGGTTTCAAGATCATCTATTTTATACATATTTACTAGCATCCGGCAACTTTTGGTCATTCATAGCCTAAAACAACACGATCTTATATGGCCTGTCATTCACTTATAATGCAACCCATCTGTTCTGTTTTTTCAAGTGAAGGTTTTAGATTGCACCTCCTAGTTAGTGGAAGACCAACTGTTCATAAAAAATTAGCCTTAAAGTAATTAACTTGAGCATGATAAGGCTTGAAGGAGGAGCAATGACACTTTATATGGCATTTAGAAGAAAAAAATTGAAAAGAAAAAATATGGGAAAATGGCATGCATGTTTCGAGGGTATTAAGAATCTGGATGTTGAGACTGATTTCCTATACACTTTAATCATGTGTAGTGCATTCATTAGCCTTTTCACATGAGTAGGAATCTCTAATTTCCAAACACAACTGAAATATTCTGCAATCATCCTGTAGTTTTTGTCAATCTAACTGTATTTCATCTCTGCTTCCCTGGTGATCTGTTATGCAAACAAAGTCAGGATCAAATCACAATTCCTTCTTCTGTTTCTATCCATTCTGCTCCAGCAAACACTTATCTGAATTCCATTCTAATTTTCTTTTTGCTCTTCTCATTCAGGTTTCAACGCACCTGTTGCTGGTTGCTTCTTTGCTATTGAAACTGTATTGAGGCCTCTCCATGCTGAAAATTCACCTCCATTTACAACTGCAATGATTCTGTTGGCTTCTGTAATATCATCAACTGTATCAAACACGTTGCTTGGAACACAATCAGCTTTTACAGTGCCATCGTATGATTTGAAATCTGCTGCTGGTATTATTCGTTTCTCTTGAAGTATTTATTTCTTTATTATGATGCTGCATTTGACATGAACGTCTGTGTAAAACACAATATAATGATTTTTTCATTTTTCATTTTTTCTCCCCATTTAACTAAATGAAGGAAAAAAAACAGTAAGATCTTTGTGTGCAAATCCTATCCTGGTAAGAAACTGGTATCACTAGCAAATCTGACTATTTTTATCCTATTTTTGGTTCTGCTTTGCAGAATTACCCTTATACCTGATATTGGGCATGCTATGTGGTGTTGTAAGTGTGGCCTTCAGTCGCTTGGTCACTTGGTTCACCAAGTCATTTGAGTTTATCAAAGAAAAATTTGGCCTTCATCCTGTTGCATGCCCTGCTTTAGGTGGTTTAGGAGCTGGGATAATTGCTCTGAAGTATCCTGGAATACTATATTGGGGTTTCACCAATGTTGAAGAAATCTTACACACTGGAAAGAGTGCTTCTGCTCCTGGAATCTGGTTATTAACCCAACTAGCAGCAGCCAAAGTTGTGGCCACTGCTCTGTGTAAGGGTTCGTTGCTTGTAGGTGGCCTTTATGCACCAAGTTTGATGATTGGTGCAGCTGTTGGTGCTGTATTTGGAGGTTCAGCCGCAGAACTTATCAATTCAGCCATTCCAGGAAATGCTGCTGT